TCTGCTCGTGGGCAACTTCTATGTTACTCCCAAGCACTGAAAAAGTTACCGGGAAGTCGGTCGAATCTCTCCCTCCCCCGGCCGACGACGCACAAAAGTGCATTCAGTCTGGTCACGGTGGAGTTTCATTCACGTCTCTGCAAGCTGGATCCTTTTCTTTTTCGGCATCTTTTCGTTTTTGCGGGTTTGGGTTTTTTTTAACTTTCTCCCTTGCGCGGGGGAAATCTTTTGTCTTTCCCAATGCGAACGTAAAAACCCTCCCGGCCACCACATCCCCAGCAAAACGGTCACGCCGGAGAGCGCAGGACACGCGTGCCCCTCGAAGCCTTCCCTGCGTGCCGGGACTGCCGTGCCTCGGCTCCCGGGGAGCGCGGGCACGTCCCGCCCGCCGGCTGCCAGCCCGCACGGGGCACAGCCCCTTCCCGCTCTCAGCTTTTCCCATCGCTGAGGGAGAAGGGCAGAAACACGCGCGGCAAGGCACCAACCCCTCAGCGGCGGCGGGAGCACCCCCGCCGTCTCCCCGTGCCCGCGGGGCTCCGGGAGCAGCCGCCCGCCGCGGCCCCGCCGCAATCCCCCGCCGCGGCCCCAAAACCGGGCCAGAAAAAGTTTTGCGCGGGCTCCCCCGGCCCCGGAAAAGGGCAGAGGAGGCGCGGCGGGGCCAGCCCGCAGTGCCCTCCGGCATCGCGCCCCCGCTGCCCCCGCAGCCCCCGGCGGGCACCGCACCCCTACAGCCCCCGGCACGGCATCCCCGGCAGCGCCCGTCGCCGCGCTCCGGAGATCCGCGCTCGGGCGATCCGGGCCCGGGCCCGCGTTGTCCCCGCCGCCCCCCCGGCCCCGCGCACCGCCGGTCTGCCCACGGCCACGGCCATCGCGCTGCGGTGCTCTGCGCTGCGCTGCCGCCCGCCGCCTGTGCGCTGCCTGCTAGCACTGCAACATGGCCACCCGGCGGGGAGGGCCCATGCGCAATGCAAAGGGGCCGGGCGGCGAGGCGGGACCCCCCCGGCCCTCCCCCGGGGCCGCCGGGCAGCGCGGGCGGGCGGGCGGCACCGCCCCGCCGCTCGGGGAACCCCGAGAGGCAGCGGGAGCCGCGGGGGGCTGCAGGCAGTGCCCAGCGGTGACCCCGCTGAGCCCGCTCCTGCCCACGCCCCCCAGGCCGGGCCGCGGGAACCCGTCCCCTAAACGCCCAAGGGGCTCTCTCGCCCACCCTGGCAGCCCCACGGCTGAACGCACAGACACGGCCGCTCCGGAGAGCCTTGCAAAGAGATGGCTAAGCCAGCAATCAGCACGGGCCTCCTACCAGCAGTTAGGCGAAGAAGGAGCGCGGGGATTCGGCAAAGAGCTATTTACAGCAAGGAAGAACACGGGAGCCCTTAACTCCCTTGTATAACAGCACAGAGGACAAAACCTGGCACCTCAGTTCTCTTGTTTCTCTGAGCACTTCTGTCAGACACACACACATGCACACAGTTTTTCAACAAATTTGGTACAATTTGTTACTACAAACAGCAGCCACGGTGCCCAGTCGCTCTCCCACTCCACTAAAGGATTTCCAGGGATGAAGAGAAGCGTAGCTGGCTCCTTGGCACTCCAGCTGACAAACACTTAACATCCTGGTGCTGAGCATGATGTCCCTTTACCTAAAAAAGGGGGAAGTCTTAGGTCTAAGCTCAACATGTCTTCTTGCAAATCTTTGACCAAAGTAGTGATGAAGAAAGGGCCCTGCACTGCTTTGTGAGACATAAAACCCCAAACAGAAGACAAGAGACCCTATTTGCTGCACACATGAAGGATACACTGAATTGTGGACACACCAGAGCTACCACCATATGTGAAATCCATAGAATCAAAAGAAAAAAGCCAGCAGAATAAAAGCTGAGAGCACAAGTAAATGACCTGGGGTAGTGGTAAGCAAATGGAGCTCTGCTGTACGCTTACCATTTGTAGTGCCTTGAAAGTCAAGCCTGTACCTTTTCCCTCCAAAAGCCATTTCTGTACGGCTACGTAGTAACACGTGGCTGTTTGAAGACGGCTACAGAGTCCAGGTATCTCCTTCCTGCATCTTTTAAGATTGTGTTTTGGAGAACTCAGGAGCTGATCTTGGAGTGGTCACCCTGAACCAGAGCCCATGGGAGTGCGCTCAGTGACCCTGCTCCTCACCAGCACCTGAGGATCTACACCTGGGCACTGCCTTCAGCTGGACACAGGTGCAGCCCTGACCAGCAAAGCTGCTACACCAACAGACATCCAAGGGTGTCTACCAGGAACATTTTGCAAGCACAGCTGACACGGTGCTTTTTTCATTTTAACATGTTAGGCGTTCATGCCAGTATCCAAGGGAGGCTTCGCTATTAGACTCGTTATTGCTCTTGTAGCAAATTCCTCCTGCACGCACAGCTCCGGGTGAGGAGCCAGGAAATGCACCCGGACCAGTGCAGCCTCTAGTGGAAACCTGGTGATCCTATCTAAAGAGTTGCCCTCGTGGCACCTGTGGGTGAGGCAGACAGAGCTTCCCCTCGTCTGGATTAGAGATGCATGATACTCCTGCATCAGCATAACTCAACCAACACGAAAATCTCCCGCGCTCACACAACCTTGATGTGACTCACCGTGTCCTTCCTTGGCCCGGAGCTGGGAGAGCTGTGGCCGAGTTTCCTCTGCAATACTCATGCACATACACCTTCCTGGGTATGGCTGGCTGAGCTGAAAGAGAGAGAGGGGGGAGAAAAACATTAGCACAAAGAGATGTTCTGCAATCTTCCTAGATCTCAGCCAGTGCAGCTCTTTTCAATTCCTAATGTTCAGTGCAGTTCCTCACAGTTTCATACCTGTTGCTAACAAATCAACACCCAGGCAAAGGGAATTGCCAGCCCCGCATTCTAGAGACCCCATGGGAGCTGTTTCAGGGCTTCCAGAGCTGGGCATCATTTTGCAGACAGAGCAGAAAAAGGGGCTTTAATGCCCTTTTGTGTCCTTACAGGGCAATTTGTCAGTTAAAGGGGATGAGAAGGTACACAAGCAGACACAGAAGTCTGATAACTTCCCTCCTTTTTTAAAGACAAACATGGGTACAGAGCTCCCTAAAGGCAACATCTTCTAGGACAACAACAGAAACGTACAAGATTAAGTGGTGGGCTTTTTTTTTTTCCCTTTAAGGTTGACATAGTGTTTGATCTTGCCTCCATGTTGTGATTAGTTCTACTTGGAGCTCACTCAAATTTCACCCAAAGAATCAAAAGACCTGCTGCACCCAAAACCCCCAAAGAGGGTGAGACTGAGGTAAATTCAGGCATTCTGAAGAGCCCTGCCCACAACCAAAAGTGACCAACTTGCAGACAGGGTAAATCATTGGACAATAAGCAGAAACAAGAGTCTCTTTAAACCTCTCAGCATGAAGTGGGTGATGAAGCAAGCCCAGGTAGCAGGGCTATACTTTTCCCTGCCTGCCTGCAGCATTATACCCCCTTAAACCCAAAATGTGTTTTTCAGCTGGGGCTGTGAGGGGAATTGGCCCTTGAATCAAAGGGAGCTACCCTCTACACAGACAAAGGACATCACCAGCCTCTCAAATGGGTCACAGCCAAGGGGACACCACTGAAAGCCTCCTGCTTAAGCCTTAGTTCATTATGCCAAAGCAGCACTTCCCATAGTAGTGTTTGCCACTGCCATTTATTTGGATTTTTTTATCTTCACAATCTACCCTCCTTTCCTATTTGTGATCATGGTTACAACCATTCTGCTCCACTCATTTCCTCTCAGCGGCTTCTGCTCAGAGCCCGCTGCTAACAAACGCTGTTGTGACTACAATCCAGGGCTCATCAGAAGGGGAGGGAGAAATGTATTCATGCCTTGGAGAACAGCACTGAAGGAACGTGCAAAGTGATAAAATACTAACACGAGCCTTATCCTCTCCCCAGCGCCTGCACCTCAGCCAGATGAACACCGTGGATGGGATGGAGCTTGTACATGGCATCCATCACAATCTCTGTCCGTGGTTCGTGAGGGCTGCATGCACTTCTGGGTTTGCAGCAGGCTGGAGGATATTCCAGCTGCTTACATGACAGGCAGCTAAAAATATTTATGGATAGCTGGGAGCCTGCAGCAGAGATGGCTTCTGAAGTGTGACTTAGGGCCTGATCCAGACCTCTTTAAAGCCAGGGAGCCTACACTGAGCTCAGTCCCTCCCTTCTCTGACTGCAAGACAGAAATTCCAGCACACCTTCTCTCCTACACTTTCTACTCACTGCTCAGTCCCCAAACTGCTTGGGGCACGGGCTATCATTTGTTTGGTGTGCACAGGGCACGCTGCCCACGGGGGCACTGATCTTACCCATCCCTCTCAGCTGTTATGAACACACTTGTGCTAATGGCGTGGGCAGTTCTGACCAAATGGAGATCCCCACAACAGTGCAACGTGTGTCCGTCCAACCTCTCTCAGCCACGCAGCAAACACAGAGATGAGATGAGGTGAGATATGATTTGACTACAGACACTCTGGGTATTTGTGTTTGGTTGTCATACATGGGTACAATCCCACACACTTGTAATAACAGCTACCCCAAACCACAGCACATTCACACACCTTTATTGCCAGTTTTCCTAAGTCACTGAACCAGAGGGCAACTCTGGTTGGGAGGCATTTCTGGTATTTAGGTGTCTCATGGAGCGTTGAATGTCCCTGAGGATGGAGACCTACCTGCTCCAGCCAACCTGTTCCCATAGCTGACCACCCTCACTGTAAAACAGTTTTCTCTCACACACAAATGGAATTTCCTGCATTTCAGTTTGTGCCTATCATCTCCTGTCCTGACACAATGACTGATAAGCAGATCTTTGGTCTCACTGCCCGCCACTTCTCACTTCTCACTTCTCAGCTCCGCCCGCCCCCCTAGCCTGCTTCTCTCCTTCGGTATCACCTCTCCTCAGCGCTGTCACCCCAGCTCGCACGTCCACGGCCCGCCACCCCGGGCAAAGGCGACCGTGGGGTGGCGGCCCGGCCGCGGAGGAGGAGGAGGAGGAGGCGGAGAGGCCCGGCGCGGCAGGAGGCGGGTTTCCCCGCCGCACCTGAGTGCAGTGCCGAGCACCGAAGCACAGCACCGAGCACCGATAGCCGGCCGGCGCGGAGCATGGCGCGGGAGCTGAGCCAGGAGGCTGTGCTGGACTTCCTCTGGGCGGCCGGGGGGCGAGCCCCCAACACGGCGCTGCTCCGCCACTTCCAGCGGTTCCTCCGCGACCCGGCGCTCACGGAGCAGCAGCGGCGGGAGCGCCGTGAGTATTTCAAGAGCCTCGTCAACTCCTTGGCCACCGTCCACCCCGCCGCCGCCCCCGGCGCCTCCAAGGACATCGTCCTCCGCCGCAGGTACCGCGACCTCCTCGATGAGGAGCTGCCGCCGCCGGAGGAACAGAGGGAGCAGGAGGAGGAAAAGAAGGAGCCGCCGCCCCGACGCGACCCCGACGGGCGGCGCGGTCCCCGCGGGGAGGCGGCGGGGCAGGGGCGGCCCGGCGGGGCGGGGGGCTGCGCCGCCCGGGGCCGCGGCGGGCCGTGCTGCGAGTGTCGCCGGGCGCGCCGCGCTGCCGCCGCCGTCCCCGCGCCGGGCCCCGGCCCCCGGCCCCCCCCCTGCCGCTCCCCCCCCCCCCCCCCG